CTCATATTCTTCACATGGCTGGGCTATGGGGTAGGGTGGCTTAATGGAAGCCGGTCGATTTTAGTGCAAAATCTTCATGTGTCTGCTAGTAAGCAGATGATTAAAAAGTAATTTCAACTTAAAAAGCAATTTCAGCACGACAATGACCCAAAGCATACATCCAAATCAACAAAGGAATGTCAACAAAAGAAGATCAAACTGTAGCTAAAAATCTGTGGAGTGACCTGAAGCAGGCTGATCACAGGAGATGCCCTTACAATTTGATGGATCTAGAAGATTTTTTCAAGAAAGAGTGTGAAAATATTGCCAAGTCAAGATGTGCCATGCTGATAGACAGAAGACACAAAAAGACAGAGTGGTGTCGTAAAATCAGTAGGTGCTTCAACAAAGTACTAGTTTAGGGTTGTGCACACTTATGCAACTAGGTTATTATAAGTTTTTTATTTTTTCTTTCTTCCCTTCCTTTCTGACTGTTTTTCACTTAATTTTTATACATTTCACTTTCACACTGAGGGAGGAAAAAGTTCTGATGGTTTATGTTGGTTTCATTTTTTTTTTTTTACATCACAAAACCCTGCTGTTTTAACAGGGGTATGTAGACTTTTTATATCCATTGTATTTTTAAAAGCCTGGAATTAAATCAAACCCTACACACTCCCCTGAGCTCAGGGGCAAAACCAGGACCCTGTTGCTGTGAGGTAGCAATGTCACCCACTACACTACCATGCCCCATAAAAGTTAATCAAGTTAACCTAATACAAATTTAATACTAGTGAGATCTTATAATTGGATCGTGTTAATACTATGTGAATTGATCACTACATAATTCAAACTAGTAGATTAGAGACATGATTTAATAACTTGAGTATGAGCAATGAAATCACATTTTGATGAGAAACTACAGAGATACCAGTGAACCTGACTCCTTCTGCCCTCCACATGGACAGCCTAAAGATCACCATGAGATTACTGTGGAAAGTACCACACAGACACCCTAAAGATGGTCGTGGATTCACAAAACCCATCTTCTTCAGGGTGACCCCGAATAGTGCAATTATAAATACTTTCTCTTCTATAACTCTATTGCTTGGAAAGCCTAAAGACTGCAATAGAGTTATAGAAGAGAAATTATTTATAATCGCACTTTTTATTTTATATTATTTATAATCGAGTTTTTCCTTGCAACTCTTGCCTCTGGTTTGCTCATTAGGGATAAAATTAAAATT